TGTTAAATATATAATATTTTTAATGTCAAAATATTTTAATTTTTTTTATTGCACTATATATATTATATATGACATTGTCATTCTGAAGAAAATACCCTTTTTTCCCTCTAATTTCTGTTATTTTTTAAAACTATTTAAAATTTAATATTACATCATAAATAGGAGGAGTGACTTCAACAGCTCAACTGGCTTCTTTACTGGAACTTCAGAAATGAATACTTTTGGGCTTTTGCGTTTAAGCCACAGGCAAAAAAAGCCCAATAAACTCAGACAACCTTATTAGGCAAAAACTAACATTTAGCCCCTCACCTTACAAAATTAATAGGTTTTAGCCCCTAACCTTATAATATGACAGTTTTAGTCCTTTATCTTACAAAATTGATAAGTTTTAACCCCTCACCTTACAAAGTTGGTAAGTTTTAACCCTTTACCTTATATGATGATATTTTTAGCCCCTCATCGATATGAAGTAAAGAAAATAACCCTCACTTAACATCATGTTATAACGTTCTATTAGTTCTGTTAGTTGACTATTAACATCCATTAGCATTCTGTTATAAAAAATATAAAATTTAAATTCAATTTTATTTATTAATTTTATTAACAGAATATTAACGGATGTTAACAGTCAATTAACAGAACTAACAGTCAGTTAACAGAACTAATAAAACATTATAACAGAATGTTGAATATGGGCTATTTTCTTCAATACATATAGATAAGGGGTTAAAAGTGTCATAATATAAGATGAGGGGTTAAAATCTACCAACTTTATAAATCAATTAACAGAACTTACAGTCAGCTAACAAAACTAATAAAACATTATAACCTGATGTTAAATAAGATCTATTTTCTTCAATTCATATAGATAAGGGGCTAAAACCTACCAATTTTGTAAGGTGAGAGGTTAAAATCTATCAATTTTGTAAGGTAAAAGGTTAAAAATGTCATATTATAAGGTTAAAAGCTAAAATTTATCAATTTTATAAGGTGAGGGACTAAAAATTGGTTTTAGCCACCTTATTAAGGTACATGAGCACGCAGGTTTTGAGCACATGGGCTTTTTTATCATCATATTCTGTATGAAGGTGTAATTCAACACGATATAAGCTTTAATAATTTGTAGGCATTTCTATTAAATAATAATAATAATAATAGTAAGAAAGAGGCTTTAACAGGGCTTCAGAATGTTAAGTTTATGAGTTTTGGCTGAATGAATGTGCAGATTCTTGTTCCTTAAAGTAAATAGTTTCAACTATAAAGATATTCCTCGTCTTTGGTCTAGCTGTTCAGATAGATAATCAATTTTGTATTTATCTTTTAGTGAGAATCCTTTATTTTGGGTTTCAAATTGGTAATAGAGTACATTTTTAACTCAATGAATATGCACGGCTCGTTATTCAAACCTTAATAACCCTTTGTCAACTGTTTTCCCCTTTTACTACAGGATACAGTGAAAGCAATCAGAATTCATAGGTTTGGAGGCCCTGAGGTAATTTTTTGATTAAATGATAATATTCTGTTTTATTCCTTTTTTTGATTGCATAGTTAATTTTCTCACTCACAATTTTACTTCACAGGTTCTTAGATGGGAAGATGTTCCCGTTCCTGAACCAAAAGAACATGAATTGAAGATTAGAGTCCACGCAGTGAGCTTAACTCCTTACGACATCAGTGTAAGGAAGGGAGAAGGAGCGGTGCGTGGCCTTCCCTTAACACCAGGTAACATTAGTCTTTTTCTCCTACTTATTTGGCTGTAGTCGGTAATCTTATTATTCAAAATTTTTAAACCACCATTTCCCAATTTTAGGATGGGATGCCGTGGGGGAGGTTGTTGCAGTCGGACCTGGAGTAACAACACCGAAGGTGGGGGAGATGGTAGCACACATTGGAGACCCACAATCTGAAATAGGCACTTATGCAGAGGAGTTTATTCTGCCAGCTAGCAGTGCCATTCCCATTCCAAAAGAGTTGTCATGTTATACTGCGGGCTACATAGCATCTGTTTTAAGGCCTGGTTTGACAACCATAGCCTTGGTTAAACACCATTTTAGGCAGGTAGGTAAACAACAATTACTCCTCAATGTCTTTTCATCTTTTACCGCCATAAATCAATATACTAGTAAACTCAAACATTTCATTTTACAGAATGACCCAAATTTCTGGGTCCTGGTTCATACAGTGAACAATGATATTGCAGAGAAGCTTTGTTCCTATTTAAGGTACTCGAAGGCAAACGTAATTGCAACTATGGAGGGCACACTGGAACAGGATGAGATACCCCAACTTCTGGATTCTCAAGGGGTTCATGTCATTGGATTAAACAATCTTGAAGAACAGGTTAATCACATTACCAAGAATAATGGTGTGGATGTAGTTTATCTTTCTCTTGGGGATGATTCTACTTTTAAGGTAAGCATGCATTCATTACAATTTTTAAGTTTATTTTTAATCTTCTAATTTTATTAATATTATACTTAATTTTTTTCAGGAGACTGAAAAGTGCTTGAAAAGAACAGGTCACATAGTATATTACATACACACCTATATGGATCCAAGGCCAGCTCCCACATTTTCAGGTGAAATTATAGCACACAAATCAATCTCCCTAAGCATACCAAAGTTGGACGACTTAATTACAAGTAGGGAGAACCTCCTGGACTCTGTGAAAGTGGTTTCTGAAATGGTTGGGCGCCTGGTGCTGTTCCCTAATCTTAAATGTGATTTCTATGAAATGGAATACGCAGCAGATGCTCACAGTTCATGGGAAAGTGGATGTCAAGCTACTCCAATTGTCTTGTATCTAAAGGGCACAGAACACATCAATCCGGCAGCGTGTACTGAGTGTACAACACATAATCAAGTGTATTTACTGCAACCAGGAGGACCGGCTGTTACACTGTTGAGTGAAGGGGCAGAGGCAGCGGCAGCGGCAGCGGTGTAAGGGGCAGTTCGCAATAAATAGATTTTGAACTTTCGAAAATTTTTAGTACTTACAATTTTCTTTTGGACCAGCCCTTATCTCAAGGTTGTTAACTCTTTTCAATTAAACATTCTATCAGTGTGTTTTACCAACTTAATTCTGCTGAAATTCTAGTTACGAGATTTTCATAGCCGCAATATATCTGTTATCGGGCTTTGCTTCTTTTCAATTTAAGCTAGATGTCATATCTGCAATTGAGAAAAATATATACACAATAATATAACCAACAGAAATATATAACCCAATAAACTTTAAGAGTAATTTGGTCACTCAATCCAGCGGATAAGTTCTGCAATTTTTTTTTAAGGTTTGATGCAGATGATGAATTGAATTGAACACACTAAGCCAGCATTTTGTTTTTTCCTTTTTCTTTTCCGTCCATTCCAATTCCTCTCCCTTGAGCCCTTTCTTCAGCCACGCCCAATCACCTTCTTCTCAACGCCGCTCAATTCAGCCTTCCCTTCACCTCTTCTTCTTCTTCAACCAAACACTTCCTAGCTCAATTGTTCTCTCTACCGCCATTCTCATTCCCTGCCAAGATGGTGAACAAGTGAAGGAGGAGAGATGGTGAGAGTACCTGTCAAGACACAATTCCATTCTCTCCTTCTGCAACTTCCCTTGCTTCAGGAATTGTACCTTTTTGGCTGCCCTAACCTTTGAATCACAAAGATTTCAGGTCCAAGAATCAAGACTGTGGTTTACCATGAATTATTATTTACAGATAGCTTCCGCGTGGAGACCATAGAGCTTGCAGCACCATGTCTGAAAAACTTCGTCTACATGTCTTCTTCCAGACATTCCCTTATGATCAGGGTGGGGGATTGTTGTTACAGTTTGGAAACCTTGGTGTCGTTTAATTCCTTGTTCACTGATGGAACGTTTCATCACCTTATTTCCAAAAACTTCCGTTCTTGGAGAATCTCTGGATACTTGGATGTCAATATGTCATGAACTTGAAAGAATCAAGGTCCAAAATCTTCTACTTAATAGGATGCATATTTATATATGTGCTAACTTGAAAGCTGTGGAGATTTATATCCAAATTTATGTGAGTTTTATCATAAAGCTTGTGGGGAACCGAAAATTTCACCACTGGCACATGATATTAATGCAGAGGGTTGTGGTTTGAGGTATATTTCTGCCGAAGTTTTGTCATCTAGATTGAAGGAAGTACTGACAGATCCTGTTGGAATAAAAGAGGAATTTGCTCTTATGGAGATTATGCATACTGTTCTGCAAAATTCAACGCCATTGTGAAAAAACTCTGAGAGTTCAGAAAAACTGACAATGTTGTGGTGAAACTTTTCCTCGTTCAGTTATAAATAAACATAGTTGAACAACAATTTTGGGATAAAAGAAAAAAATTTAATTTCATAATTACATTGTCTTCACTGGATGAGAACATAATCAGCATCAGCGAATGTGTCTCCAGTGGTTGGAGGCAAATTACTTCGAGAAATGTTTTTACGAACCTGGGCATGAGTCTCTGCCTCGTGCTGAAACATTTTAACCAGCTCCTGCAATTCCAACTTCCTCACTTCAACCTGTTCTTCAGTGATGGGCCGTTTAAAACCGAGATAGAGCAGCCCGACACCGATCAGCACCATTCCTATGAAGAAGAGGATGGCTGCAAACAGGCCAAATGCGTATGGCGTATTATCTGCTCCAGGAATCCCATCAACGTTGATTCCAAACAGTCCGGTTATAATAGACAGAACAAGGCCACAACCCCCAAAAACAGTCAGATTATGAGTTACCCGAAGGCTTCTGTCCTGTAGTAACGATAATTATGAAAGAAGATTTTAGAGTTATTGAATGCACTTAAGGAAGATCTCTGTGCGCTATTTTTTTTTTTCTTTTTTTTGGGGCCAAATTCTGCAGTGTTTTATTTTATTTGGTTCAAGGAACAAACCTGTAACCATGCACGAACAGTGCTTTGCATAACATCTTGGATTGTAAACAAGCGGCCACGAACTGCTTCTTGCTCCTCTATCATTTCCCTTGTGCTCTTTCTTATTTCCTCCAGCAAGTTTCTTGTCACATTCCCCCTCAAATGTTGCAGAAGCTCAAAAACAATCTCCTCCCTTGCATGGAGTGACCATTTTACTCTGATAACCTGAAATGACAACTCCAAAATTTATAAATATCTCAACTGGACAACATAATGATTTAATAGGAAGAAAACCCTCTGTTGATTGTTGGGAATCAAAGACAATTGTTTTCTAAACCATAGAATTTCTAAGCCAATAATACAAACAGAAGACTTTGTTGACTGCGGGATTAGTTAAATTGAAGTTACAGAAAATGGCCCAACTGTCATGCAAATCTCAATGTTAAGCTGATGTAGATATAATAGGTCTCCCACGTTGAGGGGATGTCATTCTAGGGGAAATAGCATACCTGCCTTGATAATCTTCGAATTTCTTGGTTCAAAATAATACCAAAAAGATGCATATCTTCTTGGTTTCTCCTATTTTGAGAGAGCTATCAGCCATTATCATAGCAGATAAATAACGGAATCACTTCCAAAGAACATTTCAACTTTCCAAAGAAAGTACCTGTTCATAAACTTCAATTCAATCTCATCTGCTGCACCAAATATGGACTTACGAAACAACCTAGTATTTTAAAAACATTGAAGGGAATCCATAAGTATAAGGGCTGCAAAATTTAAATTCTGCATTTACAGTTGGGGTTATAAGTAAAGAGGCTGCATAATTTTGCATCCATGGTTTACATTATGCATGTTATGGAACTGATAAATGCTTCCACTTGACCAGATTCTAGTAGCAAGCCATTTTCACATTAGATGTAGTACAATTTTGAGATTGTAAATCTAAGGACAACAATAAAACTGAAAGAAAGGAAATCTTTCTGCATATTGCGTTAGCAGATTCAGTAAAATCTTTGAGATGGTCATCTGATAATAAGTGACTACAAGGGGCAGGTTAACACAGCAGTGCTTGAATATGAGGCACAAAATACTTGTGTTAAATTTGTGGCTTGAATCATAGATAGGGTTGTTTTACAATCCATCTTTGGAGAATTGATTATTTGGAACTAGATTGATTGATCAGGGAAAAGAAACAAAATGCTAAGGGTGCAGTCAGGGTTCTCACTCAACAAAAGCAAGCTGTAATGTATTTTTATGTAACTTTCTTATGTGGTTCAGTTGAAGACTGCTTTCCAAGAAAAGGGAACAACAAATAACACTGACGTGGTTGCTGAAACAACGAACTATGAAGCTACACTACAGTGTCCACTCCTCATATTGGAGCGGCTCTCATCTCTAGGTGAATATAATATATATCATTCATGATCTCTTCAGTGTGTTTACTATAAGCAAGAGTTGATTTAACATAAGAAGGCCTTGTTTAATGTCTGGATATGTGATAATCTTAAGTCAATATACCTTTCTCAGAGCAAGATCAGAAACAACAAACACGAAGTGGCACTGGCACCAATCACACATTCACAGGAATGTAGGAGAATTACGTAGCTGAATTATAGATGAAAGTTAAAAGTTCAATTACCTATCATCCCACCGAGTTAGACGGCAAGCTAGATGTGCTATGACTTCATGCACTGTTCTTGGTGTATTATAACCTCCAGCAGCAAGAAGCTCCTATCAGGAGTAACCAGCAATCAAATCAAATTGTAAACTTGCATACATAATTACATATTGAATCATAACAAATGTATTAGCAAATTGTTTGTGCTAGATATAAAGAATTGGCAAGAATGAGCAACCTGAACTTCTGTAATACCCAACACATTTATGCTTGAGACATGCCCTTTTATGTGCATTGCAGTTATGAGGAAGTTTGGTGCTTGCCAAGACCTGATTACAACAGGAACATCATCCTCATCCACAAAGGGATCACCAACTGATTGTCCCAAAAGTTCAAACAACAGCCCTCCAGCCACCCTAACTGGGACCTTGTTTAAAATGAAATGAACAGTCAATAGAATACAACAAAACCATAGACCTTAAAGGGGAAGGTAGGTACATCATCTAACATTACACATAACAGTTATCATAAGTGATAAGAAGATAAAGAAAATGTACATCAAACTGTTCAATATTACTTTTTTGCAGACACATGAGAGATGCTAAGGTACAGAAAAACAAATGACCATGAGAAACATGATGTGTATCAGTTATTAAAATTTGTTACCTCTCTTCATTGTTGTTTAGCATCCAGCAATTATAATTTGATCACCTTTTATTAATTTTTTGGAGACCACAACTAAACAATCAATAACTCAATTAAACTTAAATACCTTCCAAGCCAAAAACCACAAGAAAAAAGAAAAAAAAAAAAAAAATCTCTTAAATACCTTAAAACCTAAGCCTTAAATCTAGTTTCAAAAATCATCTCCAAATATCCTTACTAGCTTTTCACTGAAATTAGAGGTTGTTGATTGGCTTATTCTGACTTCCTTAAAAAGAGTATGTCCAAGAATGAATTGAAAATTGATATTTACAATAAGAAATTCAAAGTTTAACTCAGATCGAACCCAGTCACTAGTGTGTTTGTGTGATATGCATTAATATTTCAATAAAAGTGCAAAGAAGAGGTAATTCATAAAGTGTACTTTCAAATTCAGAAACAGTTCTTACAAATAATCAACAATCTGCATGGATCCTTACCTCATAGAGAAGGTGCTTCATCCGCTCACTTATCAGTCGACTTTCAACTCTCAAAGCCAGACTGATGGCAGGATGTAACCATTGAGCATTGTTTAGCCATGCCTCAACACTGGGGTTAGCAGCATTGACGTGGCACCACCACACAGGTCCTCCTGGACGTTCCCAGTATGGAGCTGCCATATCTGCAATGGTGAAATCATCTTCATAATCCATCACGTCCAAGACCTGTGATGTCCAACCTGCATTAACTTGCACAGTTTGGATAAGTTCTGAAATTCTAGCCCACCCAATTGGCACCCAACGACTTCCATTAATTCTTTCTACCCCATGACCCGATTGAAGTATTTGACCCTCCTTGCTGTCCTCTAAAGGAGAAACCATATTGTCCCTCAACTCATAAGAAGAAGAGGACTCCATTACCCTGTCCCCATCTGCTCTTTGGGAAGAAGCCTCAGTCATTCCACTTGTTGGCACTCGTGGTACTTTTGAAAAACCACCATCTGATTGCCTGCTGGCTACCTTTGAACCAAATTTTGAGTTCACGGTCCTCTTATTGCCTCGAATGAATTCAAAAGCACAAATAAGCCCATCTGTCCAAAGATCACTCCCTGGCATTCCATCTCTACTAGCAAAATTCTTAACCATATCCTGTTTCTTCATCATATTTTTCCGAGATGAGGAGTGGTCCTCCCCCGTCTCACTCATGTTGGACTTTTACACCTCCTATGCACATATATAGAAAACAAGAACAAAAGAAACATCAACCAACATTTTCAGACTCTTAACAGTCAATATATGGTTGCTCAATTTCTGGAACAGTTAATCATTATCACCATAACTCGCATCAAGAAAGAATTTAAGCAAATTCAGAGCTAAGAATTAACAAAAATACTTTAAAATCCAAAACTTGAAACGTAACAGGAAAGCCCTCACCTTGAAGCTTCAACTATAAAGTTTATCAACTATTTTCCGGCGCATTCTGATGCCATGAGGAGGAAACTCCGTCATGAAATCTGAAGCAGAAACCAAAATGAAAAAAAAAAGCAACTTTGAGAAGAGAAAACTAGAAAGTTGGCTCCAGAGAATCAAATTTAGAACATGAACGTTGATTTGAAGCATAGGATAAAAACCGGAATGGAAATATAGGAGAAGGGAATACACTTTTTCCCCCAAAAAGGAAGAAAAAGAGAGACTTTAAGGGTTTCCAGGAGAGAGATAAAGTAGTGAGAACGCGCCACGATCTGGCCGGTGCAGGATGAAGGACAGACTTAGGCCAAGGTGACAGCACTGATTTATTACTGTATTTTAGGTTTTTTAGTCTTTTAATGTCTTAACAATATATAAAATATATTTTAGATATTTAATATTTCTTTTAATTAATATTTTATATATTTTTAAAATTAAAAAAAAAACAT